CACCTCCAGAACCCCGCATTTTTTTCAAACCCCTAAACCGGGGTAAGAAAAATTTCCGTAATACCAGAATTATAATCGGCCGCCCGTAAGGGGGGGGGGCTTTCCTCATGCTCATACAGGAGGATGGTTTCGCCCTGTTTTTTCTCACTTGGGCCACCTTTAAAACCCCCGGGTTTTTTTTTAAAAACCTGATTTCCGGGCCTCATCCTCCGGAAATTCTGTTTCTTTGTTATGGTGTGGGGCCACAACATTAGTAACAAAGAAACAGAATTTCCGGAGGATGAGGCCCAGAAATCAGGATTTTAAAAAGATTCCCAGGTGATTCTAAAGTGCAGCCAAGGTTGAGAACCACTGCCTGAACCTTCCTCCTGCGGGAGCTGAGGTAGAGGCCACGCCCCTCCAGTGCAGCCTGATTGGCATGCTGGAAGGAGGAAGGGGTGGGTCATGCATAAACACCTGCTTTATAGAGCCAAGTCAGCGTCATTCCCTGCTCCTCCTCTTGTGAGCCCTGGTCTCTCCCTGGCCAGGCTAGAGCTCTGGTTGTGCCCCACAGAACCTAGATTTTCCCGAGTGAAAGGAGAGGGCTGGACACAAGCCCCCAGATTCTGGGCAGAGGAGGGGGCCCCCAGAGGCACTCGGCTTACCCACCCTCATCCTCCTGCCAGCTTTGAAAGGAATGAGGGGGGAAAAAACATGAAATGCCTATCCTAGGATAAAACTCTGTGACAACCCACCCATATTGCACAAATTCTGATGTACATTGTATGATAGACAGTTTGGCTTCCAGACTCTGGAGTGCACAGCTTGGTGGCTGCACGGGTTTACTCCGGCCAGTTTATTAACTTTGCAATAATGAAACGTCACATTTTCCATTTTTACATCCACCCAGAGGTTTATGGCAGGGTTTTCACTGAACACACAAATGGCCCTTATCCCAAACTCAGGACGCCAAATAGGATGAAAGTTTCAGACTCCCAACTGACCTCTTTCTAACTTGCTGTTCCACCTGGCCATGCTATGCAACCTGCCTGTCCCTTCTCTGCAGCACTATGTGAGTGGGGACCTGTCCCAGCAGCAGCTTTCTTCCTCGCGTTCCACTGCAGACCCCATTACTTCAGATCTGGCCAGAGCCACATTAGCTCATGCTGGCCGACCATCTGCCCTACGACAGTGCTGCCCGCCACTCTCTGATTGATCTTCGTGAAACACCCATTCACTCTGTCACGCCCCTGCTCTAAGACCACTCCAGTGCCCACAGTCACAGGATTCAAATCAAAATTCTCCCTTGGCATTCTCAGTTGGCCTCAATCCACTTCCCAGCCCCATTCCGCACTCCTCTCCTGCACCAACCTCCTTTCAGGACAAATCAAGAAGGATCAGTCATGTGTGCAAGGCCAGTTGTTGCCTTGGGCTGGGCGTGGCCCCTGGTGGAATATAAAAAATACTGGGACACTGAGTTTACCTTCAAAGCTTTACAACCTCTTAAAGAGCAAGGCACATGTGAAAAGTTTAACAGCAACACAAGGGTTAATGAACACAAGCAATGGGGGAAATGCCATCAGCAGGAGCCTGTGATTCACTGCCAAGCAGCGCTGTCTGTATTGAAGGTTAGAGATTGTAGACTCCAGAAAGCCCAGGAGGCTGGAGACCCCTGAATATATTTCTAGAGAGAAAACGGAATAAGAACACTAGCTACCACTTATGACTCGCTGGATTGATGCTTCCTGAGTATTACTCCCAATCCTTACAATGACTCAGCCCGAATTTAACAGGATTTGTTCCATCACTATGTCACCCTATTTTCCCAATGAAAAAGCTGAAGCACAAAAGGTTAAAGAACTTGAAGATCATATCGATAGAAGACAATGGAGCTGAGATGGTACCCCGGGTGTGTCCAATTCCAGCATGTGAGTCCCTCCCACTGCACCCCTGTCTCTCTTCACATGTCAGATACGAGCCAAGATTTCTCTCCCCAGCCACACATTCAGAACTCCGAGGAAAATGAAAGCGTTCCAGACTTAGTTCCTCTTGCCTCGCTCCTCTCACACGGACAGTCCTGCAAAGGGCTCTGAGCATGGGAGGGCTAAGTGAATGTTTGGTGTTTTGTTGATGGAGTCACGTGTTGGGGCTGAGGTCAGCTTCACTGCCTGCCCACTGCCACCCTCCCCCTTCCCCTGGCTGCCACATCAGGACTATCCGGCCTCTTCCCCTGCTCTCCAGGCCTCTGCCCGGCTCCCAGCACACCCTCCTGGGGCTGGAGGACAACCCTTGGCAGCAGGAGACCCATTTGTCTCCCAAATCTCAAGGACAGATGGGCACAGCCAGGAGGTCTCTGTGTTGCAAAGAGCACAGGAGCCCGTGTGGCCGTGGCTCTGCCAGCTAAAGGCCGTTCTTGATTAGCTCAGAAATGAAGAGCTGCAGTTTGGGGGAGGCTCCTGTGGTGGGAGTCTGAGCTATATCTCCATTTGGCTTTGGAATAAGCTTTTGTTTCCCCCTTAAATGCCAGTGTCTCTGTTGCCAAATTTGTGAAACCGCTTGAAGCTAAGGTATGGGGAACTGATCGGGGGCACAGTTGGGAAGGGTATACAGGCTCCACATGGTTCTTCACCTCCATCCCACCCCAGCTAGGCTTCTGTGTCTCTTCTAGGGAAGGAAGAGGAGCAAAGATTGGGGTGGGGGGGCTGACTCAAAGCGCGTCTCCCATCTGCCCCCACCTCTCCCTGACAAGCACTGCGGTTTCACAGATAAAGACACTCTCTGAACGGAGGGGACAGAGAAGAAGTTAAGTGGGCTGTAACTATATGGGGCTGACAATAGGGATGACAACAGTGACAGTGGTTTATGCTGATTATCCCAATTAACCTCCGCGAAACCCTGCCAGAACCCTCCGGAGATTTTACGAGGAGGAAACCAAGGTTCAGAGAGGTTAAGTGACTGGTTCAAAGGCACACAGCTGGAGACTGTGCCAGGATACCATCCGGGTCCAACAGTCTCCCCCCCCCCCCCCCCCCCCAAAACCCGAAGGGCGGGAATTAGCCCCCGGAGGGCCGGACCTGGGTCGTTTACCTTTTGTTGGGGGAGGAGGGGGACCCTTTTCAGAAAAGAAAGGAAAAAACCCCGGAGC